ACCAGATCGACAACCTCAGCACTCTTATACACATCATCAGTGGTAATAGCGACCTAGAATTTAGATGGAACAACCATCAGAAAGAAAGCGCAAGGAAGTTTTCTCAAATGAAACTATTTGCCAAGATTTCCAATATAAGGAACTCAACGAGAGAGTAGGTGAAGTATCAAACTGACCCGGTCATATGCATTTCCTTTGGTGTACTCGGTCACGCCATAGTTATAAGTCAACTCAAGCACAGTTGTCTTTTCTTCCTCTGCATACCCTAACATGGCTATGGAGTACTATAAAAATCATGTAACAAAAAGTAGAAAACTCAGTATGCACTTTCCATGGTTAATGGGAAACTTAATATTTTCTGCAAAATAAACTGTATGAAATAAGCTATCAACAAGGCAGTATACCTTGTGTTCAGGTCTATCCACCTTCTTCACTACCCTCATCCCCAAGGCCTGCAAAGAAAAAGGAAAAAAAGAAACCATTTGTTATATCTCTTTTCTTTCATTCTTGAAAGCAATCTCCTTCTGCAACTTTTTGAGCCAGAGGAAAGAAAAGAAAAGATGATTTTTCAAGGTATTGTGACGCAAGTTTAAAAATGAAAGGTCACCTAAAGAATCCATAACTAATAGTTCGACAATGAATCCCTATGAACACTTTCACTTGTATCCCTTTTTCTTTTTATTCAACATAAATATCAGAATGTCACAAAGAATAAATTATTTCTCAAGTATTTAACTAAACTCATGCTTGGCACACTTCCCAAATCCAAACTAGAATGCAAACTACCAATGAAAATATATTCAAATCTTTTATCCCATAATGCAAATTCATCCCCAAATTTTTTCTTAATTTGTCCTGCCATAGGCTTGACCTATTGGTGATGGTTGTTTTTAATTATATGTAGATTCTTAAACTTTTTACAAGAAAACTCATCAAAGCTCCTTCCACTGTATGGTAGTAGGCTCCTGCCTTAACTCTTAAATACAGATAAATAGAGAGTAATGATGCTTTGAAAATGTTGTAAAGATCACAGGAGGTACAATTTAAGCAAAGGAAAACTTCATTGGAGATTACCTTCTCATAAAACTTGATAGAACGCTCCAGATCACCAACACGAAGCATTACTTGGCAAAGTGGCTTAGGAGTATTTTCTCTTTGGATGAGCTCAAAAATGTAACCATCAGGATCCTTCACAAAGGCAATGACAGTTGATCCACCTTTGACAGGACCAGGCTCCCTAGTGATATTGCCACCCTTGGCACGGATTTCTTCAACCAGTTTGTATACCTGTCCATGGAAGGCACAGGTAATTTTCAGCACTTAAGACAACCATTTGCTTTGAATTTTCCAAGACTAACTTACATCTGGGGTAGCAATTGCAAAATGCCCAAACCCAGTTCCAATATCATACGAAGTTACTCCATCATCTGTAAAGAACAAACAAGGTAATTCTCATGAGGTTAAATGTTAATTTTGATTTTTTAACTTTACAAAGTTATACTTTTTAAGTCTTTCAATTATTTTTTGTATTTTTTTATTTTTTAACTTTAAAAATTATATAAATATGATGTATGATGTAATTGTTAAATAATTTTATATGATATTTTTTTAAAAATATTTTATAACGTGATAATAATATATTTTATAATTATCTCACATGACCAAATAACAATTTCACATCAATTAAATATATATGTATATTTTAATAAAAAGAAATAAAAACAAACAAAATTATATTATTAACCCTCACTCTCTCGATCCCATCTTCTTCCCCTTCTTTCTCTGTCTTTCCCTTTCCTACCTCGCCCGTGGAATGATTAGAAGCTTTCAACCTTTGTAAAGAACTTTCCACCAAAGTTTAAACAATCAAAAATCCCTGTTTTTAAATCTTGTTCTTTTTGATCGATTGCTTTTGTGGGTCGTATTCTTCGTGATTTTGGGTTTTTGGGTGTGGATTGATTCCGGGTTTGTTGCAGAAATTTCAAAATTTTGGGTATGGAGGTTTCGGTGATTGGGAGTTCTTAGGCGCAGATCTGGAGAACGGAATTGGGGTATAGAGATTTCAGGTTTTGCTTCGGGAAGAACGATGAAAGGAATAGCATCTTGTCGAGAAAGACAAATCATGTTTACTTCGTAGCAGAG